GTTTTAATTTGCATCTATTTATATATGTATATATAGTTAATTTTTATCAAACACTCTATATTCGAAAAGTAAATACTAACCTAAGAAAATCTAAAGATTTTCTATAGTCATCACTATGAGTTCATTGGCCTGGTTAATGTTCAAAAGGGTTTTACCAACCTTCATACCACTACACACAAGCATAACCTTTTCATACTTTGTATAAGCAAGTTTACAACATATATTATATCATCAATATAACAATTATGAAGTTTATAACCATTATGATTTATAGGTATATCATTATTGAATTTAATTCAATTAACATTTATGAACCAAATTATCTAAAATAAGAATCAAATTTAATGGATAATAATTTGCATAATAATAAATCAAGGTAAATTTGGCTCTACTATATGGTATATTTATTATGAGAGATAAATGGGATATACTACACATGCATATTCATAATTAAGTATAAAAAATAAGATGAGCATCTATCACATATAGGAACCTAATACAAGTAATAATGATAATGCCCTAACAAAGAATGATATGTTTATCCTTTAATAAATAAAAACTTCATACTTAAGATAAATGATATAAGAATCTAATTTATTTGAGATCTAACTAATGATGTTGAATGAAGCTCAACAAAAATGACCTACAAAAAAAAACAAATTTTATTATCTAAACTATACTATGGATAAAATATGTGAAAATAAAAGGTTTAATCTACCCAACTTAAATGCACATAATGAAGATCCTTTGTCAAGACTAAATAATCTAAGTTAAAACACAACCAAGACTAACAAAATAGATTTCCATAATCTATGATCTTAACCATGTGATTTACCTTAAAATAAAAGTAGATAAAACCTAAACTTATGATTAAAATGATTAAACACCCAAATTGCAATAGTTAGATAAAATATAAAAATTAATATATTTTCAATGGTAATTATTGCAAAAAAAAATCAATCATATTTAAGGACAAATTAAACTATTAATATGCATTATATGAATTAAACATTGCTATTGTCAGGTCTCAAGTCCTGGATGAGAAAAGTGGAGGGTTACATTATGTAGTTGACAGGTAGCATAAAACTTATCGAATAATCATGACATGAATCCTTTAAAAAATTGTGTTAAGCAGACATAGTGGGACAAAGGCTTGTTGTTGTTGTATATGAATTGAAAATGAGAAACATATGTGAGAAGAAGAAACCTCATTATTGTTAGTATACTTTAATCGATGGAGGAGAAAGATGAGGAAAATGGTTCTCTAATCTCTAATTTATTGATTAGAGTAGGAAGAGTTGAGGAAGAAGATAGAGGGTTGGTTGCTAGAGTTTTTAAAAATATAGAAGGGTTCGACAACAGTGAGATAGAGGATATTTGAGAGAAGTTTGATTCCTTAGGTCCCCTTCTCCTTAAATTGCACCTATGCTGACAATAAGCGGAAAGTCTTGCATGGGAGCAGGAAAATAATGTAATTCATGTGATTGGGGAAGAGGCATGGATAGGGATTTATTTTTCATGTAAACAAGTCTGATTGGTTCAATGGTTGTTCGGCCTGATTTAACCAACTTCGGTTATTACATGACCATTAGTTTATCTAGCCTAACTTTGATTCTTTTTTATTCATACATCCCCATAGATTAAGACATATCATTAGATGATTTTGTTAGTTCACTTCTTTGATATCAAAGTTGTCATAAGGGTGAGTAGGCCTCATCCAACAACTAGGTTGTTAAAGTGAGAGCGAGTGATGTCATAAATTGTACAATAATTATTCCAAGAGAAGAAAAAAGAAGAAAATTCCACCAAATAGTGTAAAGAAGTAATTTAAATCATAATGAAATTTATCAAATTCCTATTATGATATCTTGAGGTAATAAACAATCTTGATGGCGTTTATCCCAGTCATTACACATAATGGCACCCTTTTATAATAAATTTTGCTCAATTGATTATGCACATCAGTGTTGGTATGGGAAGACTATAACCATCATCTATCATGCTAGGAATAAAAATTTAGAAGG